GATTTGTCTTTGGGTGAGAATATACATTCGAAAACTTTAGATTTAGGCTGGTTTCATACTACGGATCAATTTCATTTTAACACAGCATTTAAAAGAGATAGTTCTCAAACTATGACAAAGCGTTATATTATGTCAATGATATCACAAATCTTTGATCCGTTAGGATTATTAAGTCCATTTGTAATTTTAGGTAAAATTCTGTTGCAAAAACTTTGGTTAATAAAAATAGGTTGGGACGAAGAAGTCCCTGGGGATGTCAAAGTTTGGGAACGATTTTCCTCTTCTTTGCATGTTCTTGGTGACATGCGCATACCTCGGTACGTACAGGGAATGAAACCCGTAGGTCGAGAGTTACATATTTTTTGTGATGCCTCGGAGTCTGCGTATGGAGCATGCATTTATATTCGCACTATTAACATTGATTCTTCTGTATCTGTTCAGCTTTACTGCTCAAAGGCAAAGGTTGCACCCTTAAAGTCAATTAGTATCCCAAAGTTAGAATTATGCGCGGCGTTATTGGGTGCAAAACTGTTTAAAAGAGTACGTGAAGCCCTTTACTCTGTTGATTTTAACAACGTAGTTTTTTGGACCGACTCCACTATTGTGCTGGGTTGGTTACGCATGGCTCCTAACTTGCTAAAAACATTTGTGAGGAATAGAGTTTCAGAAATCCATGAAATTGTTAAGGATGTACCCTGGTATCATGTAAGTGGAGGTAACAACCCCGCTGATTTAGTATCCCGGGGGCTGTATTTACACAAACTTAAATCAGCCTCATTATGGTGGGAGGGACCGTCATTTCTTCATAGTTCTGAAATTGAGTACGGAACCAACCGTGAAAATAATTATAGTAAACAAGATTTACCTGAACTAAAGGTAAACTGCACCTTTTTGGCTAGGACAGAGATTTCTATTTTTCCTTTTCAAAGATTTTCACAATATACTCGGATGAAATATACGCTAGCGTATGTCCTGTGTTTTGTACATAACACGCGTAATAGATATCACGGCCGCCGCGGGCCACGCACTGTTGAGGAGTTGCGATTGTCAAACTTACATCTTATAAGGTTTTCGCAGCAAGAATCGTTTCCAGAGGAATACAAAATGCTATTGAACAACGGACATCTAAAAACTACTCACAAATTGATAAAATTAAATTTATTTATGGATGATGACCAAATCATACGCGTAGGCGGTAGGATGGAAAATTCAGCAGATTTTCCTTATGATAAGAAGCATCCAATGTTGTTGTCGTCTAAACACTGGTTTACATTGGTGCTTTTTCGGGACGAACATAAGCATTTGCAGCATGCCGCGCCGCAGGCGCTATTGTACAATATACGCGAACATTATTGGCCAGTTGGAGGTAGGGATCTTGCTAGGCTAACTGTACACAACTGCATTATTTGTAAGCGATTGAGGGGTAAAACTTTGTCACCCATCATGGGTAACTTACCGCAAGAAAGAATCACTCCGAGTTTTCCTTTTATAAATTGTGGCGTAGACTATGCAGGGCCAGTGTTCACATTAAACCGCAGAGGCAGAGGCTCAAGGTTGGTCAAGGGTTATGTTTGTCTATTCGTCTGCTTTGTAACTCGCGCCGTGCATTTAGAGCTGGTTAGTGACTTATCTTCGGACGCCTACCTTCTCGCATTAAAGAGATTCATCTCACGTCGCGGTAAACCTGATCAAATTTTCTCAGATAACGGTAGAAACTTTGTAGGCGTTGCAAACGAATTTGCAAAATTTTTGTCAACTTGCTCTGATGATATTATTGAATACGCAACTACACAATCAATTAAGTTCTCATTCATCCCCCCATACGCACCTCATTTTGGTGGACTGTGGGAAGCTGGAGTCAAATCCTGCAAGTATCACTTACTTAGGGTTATTGGAAATGCACATTTGACATTTGAAGAATTTAGCACAGTATTGTCACAGGTTGAAGCTATCCTAAATTCCCGCCCACTGAGTCCTATGTCCTCTGATCCAAACGACATTAACCCTTTGTGTCCAGCTCATTTCCTTATTGGGCGGCCTTTGACAGCACCTGCATCGGCTCACTACACAGATGTTCCTGTTCACCGCTTGACGAACTACCAAAGACTAGAGCAGCTTCGACAGCACTTTTGGACTCGCTGGAACAAGGAATATATCTCGGAACTGCAAATCAGAACAAAATGGACAGGAAATGGAGCCGATCTTCAACCTAATACATTAGTTGTAATCAAAGAGGATACGGTTCCTCCTCTGAAGTGGAGCTTGGGTCGTATCATTTCCACCACGCCAGGGAAAGATGGAATTTCACGAGTGGCAGACATTCAGACTGCTGCTGGTATTGTACGTCGTGCTTTCTCCAAAATCTGTCCCCTCTTCGACATAGAAGACAAGGTGTTGGACGCTGGTGCTTCCAAGGCCGGCGGCATGTTGACGCTTGAGTAAAAAGTTCTGACTACACCGGAACGTCGCTCCATTTCCACCAGTAGAAGCAGCTTTGACCCACGTGATCAAAAAACTCCCCTTTTCACTTCACTCTCTACGCAATTCAAATTTAGTACGCTCAATTTTCTTTCGCAATTTTCATTTATTTATTTTATTTGTAATTATATTCGCAATATACGCATTATTGAAGTAAACAACTGAGCTTTATTGAAGAGTACGCATAACGCCGAAACAACTTGTAAAGGTATTCGTTTGTTATTGTGGGTTACCTACAATGCGAAGAGACAGCACTGCCTTGCAGCCTAAGAAATACTAGAGGAAATAAGACACGGCCATTATGCCCGTGGTAGCATAGTTGGCCTGTGCATCCGCCCGATCAGCGGAGTGTGCGGGTTCGAGTCTCGTCTGCTGCCTGGTCCGTGTGGATTGTTTTCTTGTATTTTTAAGATTTAAATATTTATCAGTGAATGCTTAAAAATATATAAATATACATTGTTTTAAGGTCAATAAATTAGTATAATTATGTAGTCGTGTTTTAATTTTAATATTTTTTTGTAATTGCATGGCAAACAATTTTCAAAATTGTAACTTATAAACTATAGATATTAGCAGAAGTGATTATTGTCGTAAATGATGAGACATTTAATCCTCCACCTAAAATTACAAACGTACCCGTACCGTATTGAACAAAAACTTACAAGGAAACAAAGCGACAACTTATAGATAAATAGGTATACACTTTGATTTAAGGGCATTAAAAGTATCTCTATAATAATTGTTTATAGCTGCGTGGCGTGTAGTTTATTCTTTTCTGACTTTGTTAGGATACAAAAATTCCATTTACTCAAGACAAGTCCAACTCGTATATCGATGTCGATAATATTTCATTGACTTCCACTGTCAACCACTAACTAGCGCAATCCGTCGAACGAATCGGAGCTCACACTGACTGGTGTGAGCGCTGATTCGTTCGATTGTTCAATATCGCGTTTCTTGGTTGGCTTATTTATGATCTATTAGGTGGAAGCGAGGTGGGGGCGAGCCGGCGACATTGGTTCTCATGCAAGCTCTCTGTCATCACCCTTCTAACCTCTTACTGTGTTCTGTGCCCTAAATCGTTCGCCAAACCCAGTATCGGACAGATACTGGGAGTAGTATATCAAGGAGGATATTCAATTTGAGTTTCTTGTTTGACCATCGCCCGCCCAGTGCAGTACTGTTGCTATGAAATAAGTCTGGTGCGGGAGCCAGCGGAGAAAAAGTGCAACTTATTAGAGAGGCCATGGTGGAACGTTCAAACCTGAAGCTGGATTACACCTCCTAGGGGGGGTGAGTAATCTCGTCAGCATTAATGCCTCCATGACGCAAGCGACAGACATGGGTGAACAGACATCTGTTCACTGTAAAAAGGTTCACTTTTACTATGACTCCTACTTCGATCGACAGTCTCAATCTCTGTTAAAAGAGGATCTAAACTACTGGGGTTCCTGTTTAGAACTGCTTAACCATTAAGTAGGCCAAAATCTGAAACAATTTTATGTGCTTTTTTCGATATCAATTAAATAAGCAACATAATTTTTAAGAAGAATTTAACTAAAGAAGACGTTTAGGAATTAGTTGAAAAAATAATATGCAGGGTGTGGATCCTTAACAGGACAACCACTGTCATGTAATTAGAACCACTTCAGTGAGCTCCACGTGAAAACGCAGCACAGCTTTGGTGTGAGATCCAGCCACAGTAGTGCTGCCCAAGGTGCCCAAGGTTAGGTCTCTGTAATGGTACAAAGTTTGAACCATTACAGAGACCAAACCATACATTTCACCACTGGTCAGATTAAGTAGTTTGACTGCGACATCATTATTTCTTCAAATTTTTTTTTAACATTACTAACTAACAATAAAATGGATCAATGATGAGAAAGACAAACAGAAAAAAATGGTTTATAAAGAAATATAATATGTATAATAAAATATTCATAACAAACAACAACTACAGAAGGCGATTCATTTTTATTTATGTAGCCTGTCAAATGATACCTGAGTCTGAATTCTTTAAGATCATTATCATGTACACTTTTTATTATCTGTAAATAAGTGATTGTAGATAAAATGAATATGCGTTATTGATTATTATTTATCAAATAAATATTCATACAGTGCCTAAATGATTCTGAACGAATTTGTTTGTGCGATATGTTCTGCCCCCGTTCTTTGAAACCGAAATGTATGTGTGTTATTAATAAATCAAATTATACAAAAAAAAACAGGATAAACGTAAATCTAGCTCGAACGACATGTAAAAATTGAATGTGTATTTTATCTCTACTACAATAAGAGTGATTACTGTTTGTTTAATTTCCGAGTTCTAATAAAGCTCATAATTCTTGACGTTTTGTATTCCGCTTTGCGTTTTGCGGCCGCTGATGGTGGTCGTGGTCTAGATGACCGCGCGCGAGGCCTTAGTCATGGTTTTGTTATTTTTGACTAAGAACCTTCTTAAACCCTTGAACCCGTTCAAAATATAAATAAATTGATTGAAAATATTTTTTACCCAACAGCCATTGAGGATGAATACGAGGGCCCTGCATTAGAAGATGGTAAAGTTACTCTGAAATTCGCCACAGACCTGATGGACTACTACAGGCAACAGAAAAAACTTCACAAGAAATATGCTTACAAGGTATGTGCAGTAAATTACAATTAGTGTCATCAAAATTTTACCAAATTTTAACAAGAACTAAAGCAAAAAAGGAGTTTTTATTCAATTCACGAAGTCGACTCATATAGTCATCTTTTTTTTACATATAGACCAAAAAAGAGACAAATATATATTGCTAGAGGATGCTATGAACAGCGTGGGGAATACTATATATATATATAATCGTCAAATTGGATGTCTTTGGCCCTTGGATACCTTGGTTACCTTTACGATACCGAATCAAAAAGCAATCTAATGTCGACTGCAACCTGCCAACATACCACTTATACTTTTTGGTTGGGTAATACGTATAGTCCATGCGGAAGTGTACGCTCAAACGTCATTAACTGAGACCTCGCCTGCGGGGTACAGGGTGTGGGGGAGGACGAGAGCTTGTAATTTTGACAAGAATGTGCCTACCGCCCGCACCTCTCACGGTCCCCGTTTTCGTCTTCCCCATACCCTTTACCCTGCAGGCGAGGACTCGGTTAATTGGTCTGCCTATAGTGGTTACTTACTTAGTGACAATCAAAAATGGTGACTATTACTTGGTTATAACTTGCGCCAATAAAAAAACAAATCGCAAATGACAACGTAAGACTTTCGCACTCGCTATCTTAAGTAACGTGCGAGAGAGACAGATTGTCTTTCGTCAGCATTTTAGATTCGTTTCTTTAATGGCACTAGGTAAAGAATTCTCATTTTAGACAGTACTTACCTGATCAATTTCTTAAGTATGAAATGAAAATTGTTGCTCAAGTCATTACTTAAACCCGTATTCATAAACATTACTATGAGGTCTCACAGGGTGCGTTAACGCACAGGGTCCGAAAAACCTATTCATAGACAATACTTGAGTGGCGACCGGCACTATGCGTCCCTTATAATGAACGCACAGCCAAGGTAGCCTGCTAGCTGTATTACGCAACGCATAGTGCCTATTGTTCTTTTCTTTTTGACTTCGTCAAAATTTTAGGTTATTTGCGTTGACTGTTATTTGCTGTTCGAGGTTTTGGTTTTTCTTTGTTTGCGGCTGTATTCGAAAATAATAGCGTTCTTTTACAATGGATTACAGTAGTGAAGAAGAATTTGATAATTATATCAATGAGCAAAACAGAATAAGTACCAAAAAAATGATACGATATTTCCAAAATCCTTTTGGTTATTACAATTCAGAAGAATTTAGACGACGCTACAATCTAATTAATTATTATTACCACGAAACACAAAATAGCTCTCAAGCACTGTTTGTTTTTAAAAAGGTTATGAATTATGACAATTGACAAATGATAGACATGTCATTCAGAGCGGTGTGAACTACGTAACATAAACGAACCAATCACAGAGCTCTATTCAACGCTGTGCGTTCTCATAGCGAAGAGTCATTTGAGTATTGTTTATGAATTGAAAGGCTTGCCAAGTAAAACGCACTGAGAAATGTCTTACTTCGCACAGTGTTGCTACTTTACTTAAACAAGTATTGTTTGTGAATACGGGTGTCAATCTCTCTTTGTAACCGCAACGGTTAGAAACTGTTCGTGTGATTGTTTATTTAAATATTTATCTCACAATCCTTAACTAAGGCACCTACTTATTACTGGTCAGAAAAGTCTGGTAATATTTCAAAGAATCCCAAGGTTTCTTTTCACTATTGGATACCAGATCACCGTGACCACCTGATAAATATCGGCCTGGATAGCTGCTTTGAAAAACGGATTCATTTAAATGGTGTTATTATCAGGTCCTACTGTCAATCTCCATACTGTTATATTGGAACCGGCCTGTGAACCATGACAACGCATAGCTCTTTGCTTTTGTCCTTCTAATGTAATCTGCAATTTACCAAATTATAAATTAGGTTGACTCTAAGTACCGCTCATTGTTAATGAAGTCTTTATTAAGATATAAAGTGGTTTAGTATAATATATTCTACAGGTATTTATTGTATACGCAGAATCTTTGTTAACAAAACACATTCACCTTACGAAGAGAAGTGTACTGGTGCACTGAGATATAAGCTTCCGCTTATTTTATTTAACAATTAATTTAGTAAGACTAATCAAAGTACGTTAACATTTTAAAAAAAATTGTTCTCAAATTAATACAATTAATAATATATTTTATAACTGCAGACATGGATATAATATAAGTTTAAAAAATTCATAAATATTTGGTCAGAACTACAGTCATTAATAAGTGACAGTGGTGCTAATAGGCAGAAGCTTAGCATTGTTTTTGTCTTAATAGGCAAAATGCTGATTTTCAGCAACTGCCCGTAGGAAGCGCGAGGATGTAGATATACTACAAAGCTTACAGTAATACTTAGCCTTAACTACATTAATCTCATGAAAACTGACTGCGACTGACTTGCAGATAAGCTCCGCATGCATAAGTTAGAGCTCAGGCACCTATATTATAAAACATACAAATATTGCTTATATTATAATATAAGCTGTAACATGTAGATAATGTAGGCTTCCATTTCAGCCTTACCTGAGCGGAGTTGTTCTTTCTAGAAAAAATGATATGTTACATGTCCATCCTTTTCAGATCTTAATAGATGTGAAAGCGTATCTCCAGAAGCAATCTTCGCTAGTCGACATTAAGGTACCCGATGACGCCAAGTTCACAGTCTGCGGGGACATACACGGGCAGTATTACGACCTCATGAACATATTCAAGCTCAACGGGTTGCCGTCGGAAAATAACCCTTATTTATTTAATGGGGACTTTGTAGACCGAGGCTCTTTCAGTGTGGAATGCATCTTCACATTGTTTAGCTTTAAACTATTATACCCAAACCACTTCTATATGTCAAGAGGTGAGTAGAAACACGAATATATTATTTTCGAAGAAAATTTTTGTACATTTTTTTCATGCTTTAAGTTTTGTAATAATAAAAGTTTATATAGAGAAGCAAAGCTAATAATTTTTAAACATAAAACATAAAATTAAATTGCTAAAAATAAACGCGCTACCATGCGATCGACACATTTAAGTTTTAAAATCGTCAATTTCGTTCATAAATAATTCAACATATAGATATAGATCCACGCTTTGATAGCTGATAAAAAAGATAAATTCATGACACATTATTTAGGTTCAATAAATCTTTCACCACTCGCCAGGAAACCACGAGACCCGAGACATGAACCGTATGTACGGCTTCCAGGGGGAAGTGACGTCAAAGTACAACGCACATATGGCCGATTTATTCACGGAAGTTTACAACTGGCTACCATTAGCGCACTGCATTAATAGCAGGGTGTTAGTAATGCATGGAGGACTTTTCTCTATGGATGACGTCACGCTCGACGACATCAGAAAAGTGGACAGGAACAAACAGCCTTCGGAGGACGGTAAGTGATCGAATTTGAACTTTAGGTCTATAGGCGCAAGGCAGCGTTTCGTTTACTTGAAAATAACGGACCTATTCACTGAGGTTTACTGGCTACCACTTACACACTGCATGAATACCATTAGCGCACTACATTAATAGCAGGGTGTTAGTAATGCATGGAGGACTTTTCTCGATGGATAACGTCACTCTGGACGACATCAAAAAAGTGGACAGGAACAAACAGCCCTCGGAGAAAACATTTGCCAGTAAAAATTAAATTAAAACTGAATCTTTCGTCAGTGTCATTTCAATTTCAATGATGGAGCGATCTTTTGTTTGTTCGGGCAGGTATAATGTGCGAGCTGCTATGGTCAGATCCGCAGCCTATGGCTGGCCGGGCGCCGTCCCGCCGCGGCGTCGGATGCCAATTCGGACCGGACGTGACGTCAGCGTTCCTGGAACGAAACGGGCTCGACTACATCATACGCAGCCACGAGGTCAAGAACGACGGTTACGAGGTCGCGCACGACGGCAAGTGCATCACCGTCTTCTCTGCGCCCAATTATTGGTGAGTCTCAATGTATAGCCAGTTCTCCTCCAAACACAGCAGTCTTCCCCCCATATGTGGCTAATTCGGGCGGGATGTGATGTCATCGTTCCTGGAACGAAACGGGCTCGACTACATCATACGCAGTCACGAGGTCAAGAACGACGGTTACGAGATCGCGCACGACGGCAAGTGCATCACCGTCTTCTCTGCGCCCATTACTGGTGAGTCTCAATGTATAGCCAGTTCTCCTCCAAACACAGCAGTCTTCCCCTATATGTGGCTAATCCGGGCGGGATGTGACGTCATCGTTCCTGGAACGAAACGGGCTCGACTACAACATACGCAGCCACGAGGTCAAGAACGACGGTTACGAGGTCGCGCACGACGGCAAGTGCAAAAATAAAAAATACGTGTCCAATACTTTTTGATAATCTACCTGATAAACGAAGAAAAAAGAAATAATCATCATCCCTATTGACCTTTTTTCGACAGGTATCTAATCAATGTTTGTTAATTTAACGCGTTTGAAGCAAATTTTGTTCTATAACTTACTATAAACTGATTTAATAGAAAATATTGATGATATTCAAATGCATGGTCGGTAATATAGCCGTCTCTTTTCCTCGCGGTCCGTACTTGATACATTGCTAACAGCGCATTCAGAATTGCGCGTAGAGTCAAAGAAATGAGGTCTAAATTCTTCCGCACATAGCAATAAGTAAAATTATACGACTTAGCATTTCGAACTGTCATAATTCTTTGACACATGCGTTGTAATTAAGACCTTATATGCGTTTTAATTAAGATCTTATACTGTATGCATTAAAGTCGATTTTCAATGTTTAAATAATGGTTTATATTTTTTTGACGCGATCATCTTACGTAGCTCCGTGAAGCGATCAATGTACCTTTTGGACAGGTTTCGGGCACGATTTTCGTGTTGGTGTATCTAGGGTATTGAATATCGTTGACTATTCATCATAATATTACTTTTTCCATTTCCACAAGAACTTTTAAGTAGAGGTGGGCCGACTAGCCACAGACTAGTCTAGGAAGAAGACTATTTGGCATCGTTTGTAGTCGGCGATTAGTTGGCGACTATTCGGCAAAACATGCCTATTATAATCGCCACATAACAAATGAAATAAAACTAACAATTTATGCTTGTTCTATAATGTCTCAACAGTACCTAGAGTTTACATCTAAAGATAGTCTTAAAATATTTTCAATAGAATTCAGGAATCGGTCAGAAACGCCTTGATTTAACTAGTTCAAGCAAGCCCAGTAGTGATGAAATATTCCGAACACCTCCCTGAGATAGGTATTAGAATGATCGGCATTGCCGAATAGTCAGCCGACCAGTCGGAAATTTGAAAACCGATTTGTCGGCCAGGCAGTTAGTCGACATATACTATAGTCAGCCCATCTCTACTTATAAGATAACACTGGATAAATAACTGAGTTCGAATATCGACTTTATACATATATTGTAATAAGGCTCCTTTTCGTTGGTGATTAGACATCATATTAGTTTTTCGACTTCCACAAGTACTTCTAAACAACTCACAGTGGATAAGTAACTTAAGAGTTCGAATTCTACGGTTATTGTAATAAGGCTACTTCTTTCAGTGACACGATGGGCAACTTAGGTGCCTTTATCACAATGAATGGGAAGGATCTAACGCCGAACTTCACCACCTATGCGGCTGTGGTAAGTTGACTGTTTTCTAATATTTGTGTTTTATTATTAACAAGCGGCCGCCCGCTACTTCTACCACGGCTTCTTTGTTCTTTTTTATCTCACAGGTAACATTTTTCCAGCAAAAATAAACCTGTCTTAATACAGGTCATAAACTATATGCGTACCACATTTCACCCAAATCCGTTTAGTAGTTTTGCGTGAATGAGTAACAAACATACAAACCTTCACGTTTATAATATTAGTAGGATTAGCTTCACCCTGCCACATAATAGGGTATTTGACAGTATTAAAAACAAAGTGCCAATTGGTAGCATCTGTGTTTAGAATGAATATTGGCAGGGGTTTTTACTATTTTTACAAAAAATATTCATAATTTTACTAAAAACCTACGAAAAAGATAATAATTTTCTTATCTATTGTCACGTGACCGAAAACGGAAGCTAGGGATTGGCGGAGCCTAAAATGACGTCACACGCAAGTAAACTTCCGGTTAAAGTCACATTACATTGTATCATTTGACGTTTTAATAACAGTCGTCTGACGTCACACACTAGTAAGACGCCATATTGTCCAGAGAAACGTTTTCGCGGCAACTTAAAAATGAAGTTTTTGATTTGGTTATTTTTATTAAAATACACAACAGAATGATGAATATCCAATTTTTTACGGACTCCCATAAACATAAGTCAATAACGTGAGATCGTTTTCTAAAACTTGTCAAATACCCTATTAAAATATGATTTCGATTCTGATTAAAAATGAAGAGCTGGCGAACAAAACGGTATAATTACGTATCTGGTCAAACTACATTTTTTATTAAAATCTCGAATAACTTGCAATCAAAAACGCCTAAAGCAGTGTTTAAATTACTAGATTTATGAATTTAAAACCATGCCAATAGCTCACTGTAGGTCATTCAGTTTTATGCAGCTCCTGTAATATTTAATTTTATGTAATTATACCGTTTGGTTCGCCAGCTCCTCAATATAATAACATAAGTTCCAAAGCCTTTGTAAAACATTAATAAAGTAACGATTTTTGACATCTGTATTAAATGAAAATGTTACTAGAAATGTTTTCTTTCGATTTATAAATTAGCAGTTAAATGCTTAAATATAAAAGTATTTAACTTAAATTTTGGAAACTATTCTACTTAACTGACATAAAAAATCATGAGTAATGAAATAGAAGGGTGAACTTTGTATGGAGTCCATCAACGAATTAGAAATATGGAAGTATTACTCTCTAACCAAGGCCGCTAAAACATGGATCCAAATTCATACAACTGAACTTCAATACTAACGAGACCAGCACACAGACAAAACAAAATACTTTGACAAATAAATTATCTGCAAATAAATTCGGCTATCCATTCATTGGGTAAGGGTGCGGCCAGAGTGCACTCAGATTCAGATTCTGCAAACAAGCGCGAGAAATAAACAGTGTAGTCGAAGGGTACGGCCAGAGTGCACTCCTGATTCAGATTCAGATTCAGACTCCGAAAACAAAGCGCGAGAAAAAGCAGGCAACCTGCTTAGACTACACTGTTTATTTCTCGCGCTTGTTTTCAGAATCTGAATCTGAATCTGAGTGCACTCTGGCCGCACCCTAAGAACAGAAATCCCAACCGATCCCATGATCGGCGTGTTGATTTCTGCAGTTTTTTCGCCCCGCCCACTTAATCGCGGTTGGCATAGAACCTCTTTTTAGCGCAGTTTGTATTCCGTATTCTTTCTAATTCCTTAAAGCCCATAAATAAAATTAGTAAATAACGTAATATCATTTTTTAAAACTTGTTAAATTAATTATTTTACGTATTAACCGCCACATTTTGTTACTTTAGCCTCATCCTGACGTCAAACCCATGGCATACGCGAATTCGTTCTTCAGTCTACTCTGCCAATGATCGCGCCAATTGCAGCTGTCCCCAAACCGGAAACGGAAAGGGTGTACTATCCTCCATTTTGTCAAGCGCGCCTATCGTAATAGCGGCTGAACCCAGCAACGGTGAAAAGTGAGGTGCATATTATATCACAAATAAAAAAAATATAAACATTTATTTTAATTATATAACCATTAATTTAGATACTGTAATGAAGAGAGTTCAGATAATGAGTCACTTTAGAGAAGTTACTATATTCGACCAAAATGTAAGTAGTTTTATTACTTGTGTTATATTTGAATTATTTTAGAGAATACACAGCTCATTTTTTAAACTTCATAGTGTAGATTGAAAGCAAACATAAGATTGTATGTTTTTTTCCCCAATATATGACGATTTTATACTGTAGAAAGGGATTTAGCTTCTGTGGATATTTGAAACTAAATTCGGTTCAGCTTAAGTCATCTTACTATACACTAGTGTTTCACATCAGCTCTAAATAATGCATAATATGTTTTCATACTTGAGCTATTAATAAATATTCACGTCAAATTTATTAAAATCATAATTTTTTTAAATTGTCTGTAGTAAATAATCACATCATACCGACTTTGGTAAATTGAATTTATGTAAAGTTTGTTCACTAAATAAGTCGAGTGAGAAAAAACAGTCTATAGTTAAAATAAGCTTACATACACGCAATAATGTAAACATAATGCTCAAGAAAGAGTCTTCTAAGGTTAGTGCATACAATATGGGGGAGGTACTTAATGCAAGGGAGATCTTCCTACTGCTGTTATAGTAAATTTCTGTACGACAATACGGTACGCCTTTTGGGGTAAAAGACTTCGTCTTTTAGATTAGTACGAGTTTTAATATTCTTCAGAAACTACTGTGTAATTTGGAACTAGCAACATTCGTACTGTCTACCGGATTCGTCGACTTTTCCCCTCGGGGGCGGCTTTGCGGGAAACAATGCGTAGCGACTACTGCTAAATACTTGTACATTTCTAGCTTTAAGCCTTAGACATAATATCGAATTAATATTTACAAGTGCAAGATTATTTTCTCATATGGCAACACAGACCGTAATAAAAAAAAGTATACATACTTTTTTCAAACTTAAATTCTTCTTTGAAGCTGTATTATAGTTTGCTTTTTATCGTTTGAATAGAAGCTTAATATTACGGTTCTTGTAACTAGCATGTTTATTGGAAGAGGCCACCAAGTTTTTTTTTAATATTGTAACATCATTTTTACTCCATTGAGAGCAATCTTGTAACTAAGCCATAATTATTATATATTTTTTGTTTTTATTATTATTTTTAATGTATTAGAACAAATTTTTATTTCGCCAATTTCCACATCACATGATGATGTAAACGATTCTTTTTTTTTAGATAGCTGTATATATGATGAATGAGTTTATTTATGGAACCCGAATGACATGAAGTCGCATTTATTCTGCATTAAAATGAGTGAAGCATTAACTCGTTTTCATAAATATGTGCTCGTAATAAATAGGTAGAACAAAATAATAGGAAAAAATCGTTATTTACATTATCTTATTTGCACGTCAAATCAATAATTTGTAATATAACTTTTTAAATTTCCCCTTTTTTTTTTGTTTATATACAATTAATATTGTTTAGTTGGCTTTAAAATTGAAAACAATAACAACTTTCGTGTCCATTGATAGATGACGACATGAATTGCGTAATCCAATTATTCTTACACAGATATCCTTAACCCAAGATAGAAAAATGATACAACGCTAATTCTATACATGAATATTTTACTCAGCCATAGACATTTTAAGGGCAAAGACGAGTCACAAAGTATATCTAGCGAATTAAATATCAAAACGTCTTAAAATAGGGTTAATTTTCACTTGGCAAAACGGAAAATTAAATTAATTTCATCTAACTCATGTTAAGAAGTTGTGATGTGCTAATAAATATGCCAGTAATTTTGCTATTTGCAATTTTTTATAGATATAAAGAAGACATGGGAATTTCTATTCACTTTGTGATAAGTGTGGGTTCCAATGTTATTTGACAGTTTAAATCAGTCCTTGTCTACGAATATAACTTTGGTTGTCAACACTCGACTTCTTAAACTATTTCATTGTTTTTGAAAGTGTCAAAATAATGAATATTCATATTAGTTCGCAATAAAATCTATAACGTATTTCACTGTAGAGGAAACATATTAAAAATAAGGCTCCAGGCTGCTAACGATCACACAATGCATCATAGTTATCAGCCCAAATCTGAAACTATAGGTCTGTTCGATAAATGCTTCCACCTGAAGCGATTATCACCGAGCTATTTAGTAATACACTACTGCTTTACTATAACGCCACTAAGATACTTGTTTTGGAAAGCATCAATGGATATGCTATTTTCTCTTTAGTTACCACCACTGTAAATGTCAAAAAGTTAGCAAATAGGCCGGCAGGACAGAGGGATTTTTTTGTAGTAAATTTTTTTTTTAGATTTTAACATCTAGCAGTTAAATGCTTTAAAATTCAAATATAATTACCTCGCTAGGTTGTCAAAGCTCCAAACATGCGAAACAACGAAATAGATAAATTAGTAGCATGTACATCTGAGCATAAATATATCACTCACTCAACCCGCACTGGGCTCGCATCGTGGGTCACGGGCCAATCTCCCTATTCCATCCATAGGGAAAAGCTTGTGCCCCAGCAGTGGGGACATAAATGGATTGATGATGATGATGAAATATATCACTCATATAGTCAAACCTCAACGATACTACATTTGGCAATCATCGAATAATAAAAATATGACTTATCATATTATAAGAGAATCAAAGGTGCGAAAGCGTATGATTAAATATATAAAATATGTAAATAGGATAGATGGATGGATGTGGAATTAAGTAACTTAATTTCTATGTCATGCATGATAGAAAACATGAAATAAAAATCCTATTTTTACAAACACTCACACGGTGAATTAATTTTGTTTAGCCAATCACATATTTTCTTTTTCGATAAACTGCAAAGAACACTTTCGCCGTTTCGTGTTTTAAATATTCATTAATTTATTAATTTGTATTGTATAGAAAGTAAACAAATCTTTCCGTGCATATACGATGAAAGAATAGCATTCGCACGAAAATTCATCCAAAGTCCATAAAAAGCAATAAGAAAGTAACTATTTGTAGGAATTTTTACATTATGCCCTTGAATAAATTAGGTACTTTTGAAGATTCTGACTCAATTCTTGAGTGTGGATACTCTTGATTGAAATCGGTGTTTCTCTTTCTGATCGTATGGGAAAAAAATGAGTGTTATTACATTGATCAAGTCTAATATTGGTTTAATCTTTGAGTATCTATTAAGCGGGAGTAGCCCTTGTACTTCATTCCATACAAAAGTTTCTGTCAAATTCTGGGGGACGAGGAACACACCTATAGCACACTAATGAAAATATACCATACTCAAACATACACGTTGTTGCTATGAACGTACACTTCAAAAATCACGTCACACAAACAAAAAAACCGCAAACAGGCTAACAATTTTTATGTAAGTATGCAATGGACAAGAAATCTGCAAAAATTTTCCCACTAGGGGCGCTGTAATCGCTTGACCCAAAACTTCTATCAAATACATACCTATTAGCTTATATTAATTTTAAATCTTTTTATTAAACAAATTACAAATGCCGCGTTGTGCAATTCTTGGTTGTTGTGGGAAAACTGCATGCTACCCGACTAAAATATAATTTTATATTTTGATATAAGGGGGGGGGGGGGGGGGTAAACTGAGCTGCTGTTTACACCATGGTATGAATGTGTATCTGGGACAGGTAATTGCATATGGATGTCTTCATTTTGATCAGAAAAAACTGCACAAAAATTAAAATTGCGGTCATATGCCTCAAGTCTACGTGATGTCTGACTGATACAAAAATAAGATAGATTTGACTAATGAGCCCGCTAAAAGTTACTGAGATCCATACACTATTAAAATAATCCGTACCGAGAATGAGTATTCTAGCATAATAATAGAAGAAGTGCCTTTCTACTAGATCAGCTTTTCTGCCTTGCACAGATGCTCCTCTCCTTTTCAACTCTGTTTTCAGCTGTATTAAAGACCATGTTGAATACACTTTTACCACATAATTAAAAAAATTAACAACAAAAAAACACGACAGCTGCAATATTCGGCGTGGTTTGGGTCAAGCGTTTGCAGCTCCATCTATGTCGAGCTTTGCGTATACTTCTCCATTGTTCGAGCGTACACAAACACAAAAGTTGGGGATGGGACGTTAAAAGAATGAACGATATTTGACAATGGTCGGTCATTGGATGGGTGACCCAAAGCTTATTTTCTCGAACTCCTCCGTGCTTCGGAAGGCACGTCAAGCCGTTGGTCCCGGATGCATCTGCCGTCGTTAACACCCACCAATCCGCACTGGGCCCGCGTGGTGGGTCATGACCCAATCTTCCATAAATAGGGAAGGCCTGTGCCCCAGCAGTAGGGGCAGTAGGTTGATGATGATGATGTATTGAGCAAATTATTTGGAAAAAATGACAAGAATGACCTTCTCTGTCCCACAATGTAAGTCATATATCAAGCATTTTTGAGCATTTGAAGATATTTAACAAATTTGACAACTTTTTTGATGAAGAAATCATTTTATGCTGAAACGTAACTATGTCAAAAAAAAGCAACTTATTTTTTTATTACCATTAACAATAATATAGTCAATTGATATTAGAAAATAGATGTATTGCTAACAGCCTTTTTTAATAAAACCAATAATAATATTATGTGTATTATATTCATAGTTTTCGAGGGTGCTGATTACGAATACGATAATAATTTTCAGATCCAAAATGCCGAAGTTTTATTTTTAATCGAAACGAACTTTTGTAGTACAACGATTTATTGTTATTTATTAACGATACAAGGGTCTTCTCTCGAAACTAATAAAAAAACTTTTGTCGAATACTTGAAATCATCAATTTGAAAGAATGAAAAACGAGTCCGGCAATTTACGGCAAACTTCTTGAGGAAAACCACAAACAAATAAACTTGTGCAGTAGACGTTTTTGTATGTAAAATTGCTACTGCGCAGGTTTCCTTGTCTATGGTCGATGCTCAAGGAGTTTGCCGGGGTGTGATCCTTTAATGATTTTGACAGTCTTAACGATTTCTTGCCATCGGTATCTGTTCATGGTTGCTCTCACTGCCTGATAAAATTTGTTTGAGGAAATTGCTGCTCTCATTTTATCAAACCATCTAGTTGGCGAATGACCTTGGGCCTTCTACTCCATCAACCACGGCCAGCTTTTCAAGACTTTCGCCTCTCCTTCGCATTATGTGGCCAAAGTATGAAAGTACGCGACCCAAACAGATGGTGGATAGGCGTATTTTGATGTTCAATTGTAATTAAATAGATAAATTTTTGCGCCTGGCTGTCGAAGATATCCTATGCATTCGACTCCAACTACCACATTTCGAATTCATCTATTCTGTCCTTCCCATTTTTCTACTCCGTACAAGAGATGTTGTTCTTATTACCATGTAATAAAGGCGATGTCCATGTCAAATTAAATCAAGTTATATGATTTCAACTGCACTTGTTACTTACATGTTTTAGGACTAGCTATTGTGTCATTACGAACGCGGCATTACGTATCAGTTACGCCATTATTGCATTTAAGTATCAATCTGTTATTTCGATTACATTTTCTATTTTTTCTGTACCCTTCGTTTAGTACATATGAAAAGGACATGAAAGCTTTGCGTCAACCTTATTTTAAGTACACACATAATAAATTAGCATTATTGTTGGTGACGCTAGCAAAGTGTGATTTGAATGCCTTCCTTAAAGTCTATAGTTGAATACTCATAGTGTCAGCTTATTTTTTATATCCTATCCTTTTTCTATCGTCGAGGAGAGAAAAAGATAGCTGTACTTAAATTGAGCTTAAGAGATTGTGCAAAACTATTGAGCCAGTGACATTTCGACTTTTAAAGGAGGTAAGACCTGTACATACGTCTAAAAAAAACTTTTGTCAATTTTGTACATGCAGCGATATTTATACTCGCTTTAAAAACACTGTATTTAGGTACACTAATTTCTCACTATTAAGTGATTGGTCAGTGAAAACCAGACTAGAAAGCAATGTTATATTATGAAATGCTCAACGCATAATGTATATTTTAAACATCTTAAATGTAATCGAAGCCAAGGACAAATGTATCGATAAATCATCAGGTTGGACTGCCTTATTAGGCTTAGGTCAATCAAAACTGAACTTTATGTGCTACTGTTGACGATAGTTTTTATGAATCAAAATGCAATGTTTCATTTTATGAAAAATGTGAAAGTATTTTATATAGATGAGAAATTGTATTATCATTTGTTTAAATAATTGTTTATACATGTCTTCTTTTTATGTGGAACGAATTATATGATAACTTGTAAGTTGCTTAGCTAAATCTAAATATAAATGTATTATGTGTTTTATCGTTTCTTTTTAAATTGAATTCAAGAATATTGGCAGGTTTATTAATAGTAGCTGAATTCAGTTTTAGGCGACTTATAAAGGTAAGTAAAGTAACTGGTACTTGATTTGTACAGGTCGCGGCACGTTATTCTCGCGTTGAACAAAACGCGGAGGGGATAGCTGCTCATGGTTACGACTGGAGAGCCAATCAGTGCAATGCACGCCCACCCGCGCACCTCTGTTTCCCCCCAAGACATCTTATTTTTTACTTCTGCGCAATAACGGTCAGAGCTAGAGTTTCGTGCCGCAACTTATACAATACAAGTTTTACTACAGGATTGGCAAAAAAGTGTTTACACGAAGCTATGTTAAATTGGTGTCAGATACTGTAATGTAAATCTGCCATATGTCTCTATGGGCTTGTTTCCATTTTTTGAGACATTTTATATATGCCTTGATGGTCTCTTTTTCATAATGAGTGAAAGCCAAAGACGAAAATCGATCTCAAATCCTTGCGCATTTGAAATTTTCATCAAAGACACTTGATATCAAATAATAAATGTAGGTAAATATATTTAGTAAAATTCTAATTAGATATTCAAAACAATCAAACTTGTTGAAATTTTTAATTCCAATCTGAAGGGTTTATTGATAGAAGTTGAAATGAGCTTTTGGAATAAGGTCGATTTTCTTTGTTCAGGATGTAACTGAAATTGCACTCAATGATGCAAGCACATTTACGCTACATTTGTCCATAGCGAAACATGTTATGTTTACTACATAGAAGTAGGTACAGTTACGAAAACGTCAACAACCAGGTACATACAGCCGTAGGTCAAGTTATCCAACTGTCAAATTTCCAAATGACTTTGAGTTCTATCCGCTGGTATTATGACTCACTTTTATTGAGAAAAATTGTCATTTTGTGGGAACTAGGATTTATGTCGCTGTCTGTATTCTGAGATCGAAGCGATTCTCCGCGAATCACATTCGGGAATTGAGTTTCGAGCATATCAGATGATGTAGATAGGGTTTCGGCGTTGACTTTAATTGAATAAATTGTTAAATTTGTACGATGTTTGTTTTATTTCGGTGTGTTTGTTTCATTTGACCCTTACCTTATTTTTGGGCAGTCTGTATTGGTCGGTGTTCGTAGAATCTGGTTCTAACGCTCTAATTGGTAATAAAGTACCAGGAAAATAGGAACTACAGGAAATAATTATTTATTGAAGAAAATAAAGGGGACATGATGACATCTTGTTACTTATTGAATTAATCTCGCTACAGGAGATGATGTTGAAGAAATTCAATTCAAGGTCCAAGTACTTTTAAAAAGATGTTAATTGCCAAACTTAGAACATAAAAATAATATGTTTGACTTATGTTGAATTACATTATAGTTTTCATTCATTTATCAAGATACTTGCATGTAGCAAACACCGTTAGATTTCTGAATTTAATCAAACTTAATTTGTTTCTTTGTTAATCAACATTTTTTAGTGATACTTAGAATATCACCACACTCAACGCATTTTTAATATGTATTTTATATATAAGTGGTAAACGGTGCTGGTTTCAAAGTTCTCTATCTAATAACCAAATCTGAATTGTTATGTACTTACTTTTTACTGTTTGTTTACACAAATAAATTAAAAAAAACCAAAGGCGGTTGCCCCGTGATTAAGAACCCAAACAATCGTTACTTCGTGATAAGAACACTACCTATGGTACATACAGGTTGGATAGTGGTTCCATTAACTTACATTGGCCACTTAAAATTTATTTGAGTAAAACACTTGAGATAAAGAAAACTCTTTTCTACCACCAATAACCGTCTCTTTTATTACTAAACAAAACTACAATTAGAATTTACGTAGGCACCAGCTGTGTCAGCATTTTCACGACCGTCTTCTTGTCGAGCTTGCACTTTGGATACGTCACTTGGCAGTCGGTGTCGAGGGACCGACCCGCTGATATCGCTTCAAACACCGAAGTGCCGTCCAGCATTCGCCTGATGAGCGAGTTGCTGGTGGAAATGGAAAATGGCAATTATCTAGTTCAACATTCTGATGAATTTAACAGTTCAGCACAAACATATAATAATAATAAGTATTTCCAACACTCACACCAATTAGCCTAGCCCCAAAGTAAGCACTGTAGGCTTGTGTTATGGGATACACGGGTAACGGATAGAATACTTAAACTAATACATATATAAGTATATTTATATAGAAATACATATTAAACATCCATGACTGGAGTACAAATGCTCGTATTCATCACACAAACATCTGCCCTCACCGGCATTCGAACCCGGGACCTCTCGAGTTGGCGACACCTTGAAACCCGGCGTATAAACCACTCGGCCACGGAGGTCGTCAATAAAGCTAGAAATAAGTTGCTGAGGCCCAAGAACGAACTTTGACAGATCAACGATCAACAAGACTTGGATCATCGTCCAATCTTGTATGGAAGGAGCCAGTTTGTTCTTAAGTTCGGTAGGGGCGCAGCTTAGTTATCATAGAATCTTTGACGATGCGATACGATTACGGAGCTGTCAAAGTTGGTGTTTGGGCCTCAGTACCCCTAGCACGAACCATTATCGAATCCGAATAGTTTGCAAACCGAAATGACAATGTCAAATTTTGTATGGAAACTTGAACAGCAGCGGCACAAAGTACGTAATGAGAACTAAAAATCAGTACACATTTGACAATGACATTTCGGACTCGCAAACGATACGAATTCGTACGTTACGTTCTCGTTACGTACTTTGTGCCGCTGCTGTTCAAGTTTCCATACAAAAGACATTGACATTTCGGTTTAAACTATTCGAATTCGATAATGGTTCGTGCTAGGGGTATTGATCTCGGCAGGACATTGAAAGGGGATTAGATCGGTAAGTTGTTGGTGGTAGTAAAAAAAAAATAATGAAATACTGGAGTGGCAAACAAGTGAATTATGACCCGATGTGAAACAACCACCATAATCTGTGAGGCTATAGACTATGGTGGCCGCTAATATTATGGACGTCTGCCTGCTTTTCAAATCTTTCACTTGTGTGTTTACACCCTACCCAGTGGAATTCTGGAAATTACTAGTTTGTTATGTACGTTCCTATTACTTTATTTTTGTGAATAATTGACATTTGCCTAGATATTTGCCTCGTGTTCTAGATACCTAACTATATCAGTCTCATTTAATATGATAATTTTATATTTTATCGCGACTAACTGCCAGCCTCATAGTTATAACAATTGAGCTTGAGGAAACCGAGCTAGGTATATAATAATTATATTGTATCGCGGTACTATGCTATGTCAGATACGCCTAGATAGAGCAATCTAAATAAATCACGCAAAGAAAACTGCTCATGTTTCGCGCAATGCGTGCATGTGTTATGTCAAATTGTACTAAAGCAGTCAATGTGTGCGTGTGTAGCGAGGCGTTTATCTACCATATGTAGTAGATATTTTTGTGCCGCTTCCTTGCAGTTAATAGAGTACCTAGAGTGTATATGAAGCAGATAGGTAACACTAACGTGGATAATGAAGAGAGGAGGGCATCGAAATCAGTTGCATTCCCCGTAATCATATTCTCGTTTGCCAGTTGCACGTAGGAGCAGGCCAGTCGCTGCATGCACGCGCTGGAGTCTATGTTGTACCGGTTCAGAGTGTCGTCCAACTTGTTCAGCATTTCGGACAACTGGGACATGTCTGTTTCCACGCCTGAAAATGTATAAAAAATCATATTATAAAAGATAAAGCGGAAAACTTCTTTCTTGAGCAAAACACCAAAGACAAATATACTTGCGCAGTAGACGTTTCTGTATGTAAAATTGCTACTACGCAGGCATCCATCTCTATGGTCAATGCTCAAGAAGTTTGCCGGGGTGTACCTATACCTTCTACCCATTTAGTATTACTTACGCCGCCCGCGATTTCGTCCGCGTTAACTTAAATTTTTTGAATCCCGCAGGATCCAAACATTTTTTTCGGGAACAAAAGTAGGTATTCAGTCCAGGTAAGGTAAACTATACATGTGTCTTTCGTCCAATTTATTCAGCCGTTTTTTCGTGATTGTATAACTAACATACAAACTTTCACATTTATAATATTAGTAGGTATATTATACAGATACCTCGTCCTGCCAACCACTGTTGGTTGGCAAGACTTAAGACCATATCACTTTATTCGTGGTTCTACCAAGTAGAATTGAGCAATTAATCGGACCTCTGACCTCTGCTATATTAGTGAAGAGTCTGTCAATAATCAATTCTCGACTGAACCTACATAATGACATACCCAAAATTCTATTATTCAATTACATTCCATCTTCAAGTGTCAATTTTTGTCGTCAAGCGCTATATTAGACTTGGATTAGGCGGAGAAAATTTCGGGCCCTACGTTTTATATAGAAAACTAATTGTATTCAGAGGCCCAAGCAGGAATTTTGACAGCTCCATAATCGTATCGTCATCCTCAAATTTTGAATGGAAGAAACCAGTTTGTTCTTACGGCCGGTAGGAGCGCTGCTTCGAAATTCGTGCTGGGACCTCAGATGAATGTCGTTCTATTGGCTTGCACTAGTCCCAATATAAGCGGAAGCAATCTTAACATAATTGTACTTACTCCGACCGTATCCCCCTCCGTAGCTATAAGACAATGCGTGGATGAGTTTAGGCAGTATGATAACAGCCCCGAAGCCTAGAATGGAGCCGATGAGTACTCCGCCTAAGTCTATCTTCAGAGGCCCGTAGAGACCCGGGGCAGATCCGCCATATCCCCCCTAAAGAAAAATAATATTGAAGCGTTATCACTTTGTGATACCTTGTAATAGAATAAGATAACACGCCACTTTGGCATTCAAGATACAAGCGCTATTGAGATTGAAGTCTCAGTTTAGAGTACATATCAATATTATCAGCCTATTAATGACCCCACTGCTGGAACACTGGCCTTCCCTATGGAAGGAATAGGTAAATTCGACACTAACCCACCACGCAGACCCGGTTCGGATTGGTGGATGTTAACAACTGCAGATGTAACCGGGACCGACGTCTTAACGTGCCTTCCGAAGCACGTAGGAGCTCAAGATAGTAAATTTTTGCATTGCCGCCTAAGAAATGCAGAAGAAATTCGACATGACCATTAAGGTCTCGTTAGCATAGCGGTTAACGTTAGTGCATTCGCCCGGACAGCGGAAGACGCAGGTACGAGTCCTGCCTGAAACCTTGACCAAATTCTAGTAGGTACTGCGGCGATCTAACCTGAAGGGATAGGCCCTGGGAGCGTAACTCTATCAGTTAGAAAACAACTAATAAGTCTTAATAATCTTTTTTTTTATTAGAAATCAAGGCGAATATAGTAATTGTATCTTAATAAGTAACCGTATATTGTGGTGCCTGATTTCTATCTGCTGGAATCTAGTATCAAACGACAGAAGATTCCCAATTTCAAATCTTTAAAAATCATGACATTACCTTTTTAATATAACTGCCAGCTGTAGACCTTACGTGAACAAAGAGTTTACCCAAACAAGGAGGCTGTAACGCAACGGACGTCACAGTACCTAACATTTTTCTTTAGATTTGTACAAATAGGTTATTATATAAAAATTTAAGGCTTATAAATCTACTTAGGAAAGAAGAAAGTTTAGCGTGCACACACAGTACGTGCTAACTTATGTTTCCCAACAAAAAGTGGCAATATTTGAGGGTAGGCTTCAAAAAGCAAATTTGGCAGCAACTATAGGTACGGCCTTATTTAATATTACTTTGTTATATAAACAACTTCGATCAGTCTTTGGCTGAATGTTACTACACCCATAGCCATTAAAAACGATTCGTATGTTTTCCAAACCGGTAAAATAAAAAGTCCTTTTTAAAATGACTGTAAATTAAATTATAAATAACGCAAAGAATTACCGTGTATGCCAATATTTTTTGTGCATTTGGGCCAATTTGAACAATCTCCTTTGACATCTTTATAACCCTTATCTTCCTCTAAGAAGAGACCGCTCTCAAATTCACTATAGCAAATTTAAATAACCATGTGAAGGTACTATTGTTAACCAGTAGAGGTAGACTTGTTTTAGTTTTTGCTTAGATTAAAACAAAAAGGGAAGGCACATGGCACTCGCGGCTCAAAAAGTGATCCGCTTAAATTGTAATGCATGACCACAATTCGCTTTAGTCACAATTGGAAATTCAAACACACTGCATGTGCACTCAATATAACAGCGGACTCAGAAGCGGACTCGCCGTTTCGCTCGGGCTGCCTTGAAGCGTACAGTACCCTCAGTACGAGTTTGAGCTCACGAAAACTATCATAGTTTTCGTAACTGTAAATTATGATTCTATGTCCATTTTGGTGTAAATTAACCCAATATACCTAAAATTTACGAAGATGCAAATGATTTAATGATAGAATTTAAACACTGTTTATTTGTATTGAAAGGCAAACAATAAAATCACTACCCTTAGTACGAATGCGAGCTCACGAAAACTGTCATAGTTTTCGTTATTGTAAAACTCGTACTAAGGGTACAGTTCTGTCTCGCTCGCTCGATTAAATGTTTATATACAGGCGTGGGCGTGTGTGAGAGTTGCTTATGTAGTTGAGCCGGATCATATTTTATTTAATACTAGTATGAGCGTACCGTATCTTCCCTTTTTGTTTTAATCTAAGAGTTTTTCTAAATGGAGGAGCGACATTCAACAACTATTGACCACACCAACTTAAAAAGAAACAAATATTTTTCATTTTCATGTAAAGTGTCGGTATTAAATCGCTATCACAGTCGATTTTTTTGGATAAGCTCGTTCAGATTTAGCAAAAGCTTGCATCCACCGTTACTTACCTGACCGCCTGTAGTTCCGTATGAAGATATGCCGAACCTCTGCGTCCGCTCCGCCTGGTTGTCTCTATCGCCTTTCTCGACCCTGGCCGAGGGCTCCGCCAATTGATCCTCCGTACGGTACCCGGGACTCGGCAGAAAACCCCTGAAATTGAAACTAAGGACGGTAATCAAAATAAATGTATAGTTCATCTTTGTTTTCATGGTGGAATTGGAGTGATACATATAGCAACACGGCAGACACGGCCAGGAGGGAAGTAGGCATACACAGATTTCCCCTTTGTAGATTTGGGCGTACAAACGATACTTGTGCAGGATTTAGCGATGTGTTGTGTCAAAAACAAATTTTAACATTGACCTGTATTTATATATTAGAAATGTGTAAATTTTTAAGATGTCATATGTCTGAATTCCCAAAGATCTCTGACAAGAGAGCTAGATTAACCCTGATGAGACGTGAAGGCAAATTACATTTACCTCGATCAAATTCAGCAATTTTTGAAAAAAGGTACTTATATTATGTCTGCCATACGAATACATATACAATAATTTACCCCCTTATCTGCGGTCACTTCCCGAATATAAGTTTGTAAGGTCCCTGAAGCAATGGTTATTATATAATGCATTTTATAATCTTAATGAATATTTGAATAATAATGTTTTGTAAAAATGACTATTGCATGCCCGATTAGGGTAACTGTTTATTTCAATTGTGTGCACTAACATCTAGCAGTATCACTAAATGTAACAGTTTTGCAATAAAGAATTAGTCTATTCCATTCTATTGATTATGTATGAGTGTCGTAGTTACAGTTTTGTTTTATATGCGTGTATGCTAAACTACGTTTGGGTGCATATTCTCCCCCGCGATAAATTACAGAATGATTTGAATAGTATTATATCGCTATTTCTACTCCCTTCCGTGATGCTTCATAGAATAATAATAAAAACGAATGCACCGGCTGCTTACTTATAGGTAAGATAATAAATGTGTTTCAGAAATTTCATGTTTAGGGTATTGAGACTTTATGCAAAAGACAAAACCTATTCTTTGCTCTTTGCGGTCAGCGATTCAAAAGTCTACTATACTAAATTAAGTATTTAAGTAGGTATATATTTGAGGTACTGGCACTGTTGTAGTGGTTTAGATAGAGGAATATTTACCCTGGGACAAGATTACCATGGCCCCGGGCGGCAAAATGCAGACATCCGTTATTGGCCTATATTTTGGCTTGATTTACTAATTATAGAGGCCCCTTGATCGGCTTTCCACTACTTAATGTAATTTCCTTAGTATTATATTTTTTATTGTTTCTTTAAAAATTTAGGCTATATCTTTGTAATTTAAAGGCCTTTTAAGAAAAGGTTCTTTTTCTATCATCTTAATGCCAAACCAAACGTAACGCCGCGGCGCCGTTGAGGCAAGACGGTATTATTATAAACAAACTAGACTCAATTTTGTGTCAAACTTCTGATGGTCTTTAGTCATTATTCTAAGGTTCTGCCAATCCTGCAAAGGATATTTATATATTAATGTGAAGTTGTTACGTCAAATATCTTACCCATCGCTCCCGTATTCGGCCCTTGCAACGATGAAGAAGGCCACCACCATAAACACCTCTGTTCTCATCTTGTCTGACTGTAAAACGTCACTGGAGCCACCAGCATCTTGAATATATGCTTTATACGCCGCGTTCCGTTACCATGCCCGTGAACAATTGTATGAGGAAACTGCAGAAGACTATTGTGTCGTGCGTTTGTGCTTGCGTAACACTTTTACCAGCCGCGCGACAGCCGTCACGGGGTCTGAACTGATCGCATCTAATGGGGAAGTTGTGGGGAAGTGTTTGTGTACCGCTGAAATGGTGTCTCTTGGTCACCAAATTACTTCATTCTTTAACAGCGAGAGACAATAGTATTTTCGAAAAATGTTTTTTAAACATAAATAAAAACAGACTACATGAAAACAAAACCACAAAAAGTTAAGAAATAATAGGTAAATTTGTTTCTTTACTCAAATTATGCCATGCCAACAACCCAAGTAGTAAATGGGAACTCGGATCAATCAGACATGCATCATGGCACCGATTCTAATTATTAATTTGAGCGTCCGTAGGTCGTCCGAGCGTCTAGTAAGAACTAGATTATACAGTCGCCAAATATGAGATAATTAGATTTTTGCCTAATAAGAGTAGCCATTTGGTGCTACTGTCACCAAAAGCTACTCGCTTCCCAGCCAAAAGCGACGATAGGTAATTCAGGTTTTTACTTGTTTATATATTCATCCATCCAAAGGTTGTCTGGAAGAGATCGCGCTAAGCGATAAGGCCGCCCATTGTTACACTAGTTTTAATTGGTTATGTACTAAATTTTATGTTACCTGGGGTATAAAATAAAGTGTTTTGTATTGTATTGTATATTTCCATAACAACATCATGCGCTGCAATCAAGTTTAGAATAAACTACTTGCAATGCGCGATACTGTATGCTGCATTCGCTTGTTCGGTATAGGTACACACAGGGCTTTCGGTCGACCAAGGGCATGAAGTAGGGTGTTTCCACTCCAATCAATTATCAAAGGTCCACCCGTAACAGCCTATCATAGTACGCCCGCACTCGACCTGCCGTGCTATTGCGTATATTATAAAGGCGAAAGTTTGTGAGTGTGTATGTTTTTTACTACTTCACGTCTAAACGGCTGGAGCGATTTGAATAAAATTTGGTATGGAGTTAGCTGACACCCTGGATTAACACATAGGCTACGTTTTACTGCGGGAAAATATCCCTAATAAACCGCGGGTAACACCGCGGGGCACAGCTAGTTTCAAATAAATTTCAAATCACACCGGCAAATTCTGCGGTGAAAAGTGAGTTTGTTTTTATCTATATCTATACTAATATTATAAAGAGGAAAGGTTTGTATGTAAGTATGTTTGTAACGAATTGACTCAAAAAGTACAGAACTGATTTTAAAAATTCTTTCACCATTTGAATGCTACATCATTACTGATTAATATAGGTTATAGAGCATTTTCAAAAAAGTTAGGGTTCCGTATGAAAACTTCGATAAAGTAACCCAACGTGTGTAAAAATACCAAAAAATAGCCTTATATCGCGTACGCTGCGGAAGTCATTGACAATAGAGCAAAGTGATGTACTAAAGTTTTATAGAGGATACTAATATCTATAAAAATTCTGCGATACCATACGTCTAACTATTACAGTTATTTCACCCGCGTTAATTTGAAGAAAATGAAGAATTCTGTCATACATGATTTTTGTGTAACTTTAACCGTTTACCCAACGCACGCAACGGAATCTCACAAATGGAATATTTTTACCCGTTTTTGCAACATTTTTCATCGATGCTCCGCTGCTACTGTTCGTAGCCTGGTAATATATGTATAGCCTATATAGCCTTCCTCGATAAATACACTGTCCAATACAAAAATATTTTTTTAAATTGGAACAGCAGAGCAATGTTGTATTCGGTACAACGGGTCCTAAACTACGGAACGAATTTTTGATTTGGAATGGAAGGTTTATAATTATTATGAAGCAAGTCATTGTGTATAATACAAGTCTTTAAACAAAAACTATAGTCTACACTACAGCTACAGCTCTACACCGAAGCAAAGCGAGGGCGGACCACTAGTTTTTTATAGAACGGCACGGCTGCTACGGTCGCGTCTCCGGTATTTAGTCAATTAAAGAAAGACGAAATTATGTTATGTAGTCATTTTGCGATACATTCATTAAGGGGGGCTAGTCATACTGCGATCTAGACAACCTGAGATCAACCTATCATATCAACCTATCTATCCAAGTAGACCGCCACTTTTATTATCCTGCCGGCTTATTCGCTAACTCTTTTGACCTTTACGGTGTAACTAAAGAGTAAATTGCATATCCATAGATGCTTTACAGAACAAAGAACAAATCTAAAGAAAAGTTTTACTAGAAAAAAAATGTCCGCTGCCTGGTCCGCGTGGATTTTTTTCTAGTAAAACTTTTCTTTAGATTTAAATAATACGTACATTTTTCTTTTCTCAAATTATGCTTACGAATAATATAATCACGTCACAATAATGTAGAGGGAAGGGAAATAAAAACAATACCTAATGGTTTTTAATAAGTTAGTACGTAATGATTTCTTGCTGGCTGAATTCAAAACGTTAATTATTTTTTGATTGTCCATGTTCACAATAAATTTGATTTTGTTACTAAGTCATAGTTAAGAAATATGCACTTAGATACGAGGTACTTATAAAGCCCTTGAACGCAGTTTAGTGTACGTTTGTAGATTAGAGCTAATCAGAGCAGAATCTCTCATTGTATTCTTACATCACGCCAAATTGTAGGTTTGCGTAAATGTTGAGCTAACACGAGCCACTTTGAATTTGTCATTCATAAAAAACAAAATACCTACAAGGTAAGATATTTTTTTCTTTTCTACGTTCAGTGGAGCATGGAAGAACGAGGGCAACGTAATTTATAAATATTTTTTATGCAAGAATTTGATACAACAAAGAAAAAGTCCAGTAATAAATAAAAGCGAGTGTTCCCTTTCGCCTTGTCCATGGAGCTGTAGAATCCTTAAAAAAAACCTTATCACTAAGTATATACCACCAATAAAGTAATTTGAGTGCAGTCGCAAGGGACAGGCAACACTTTTTAACTTATTCGAGAGTGGAAACGTCAAGTTTTCAACAAGAAAATCCATTTCAGACGGTTCAGAAGTAACTCTGTAAATTAGTTTTATACAAAAACACTTAAAATAAAATTATTGCATATAAAAAAAAACTTTTTTATTGAATCCCAACATAGTAAATAGCTTCTTGAAGGGAGAACCCAAATCGATTAGAAATTTTGGTGTAAATTGGTGCTATTTGTCAGAATTGCCAGGTTTTCCCGTTTTTTGCTGCAATATCTAACTGGACTAAAACGATTAACTTTCTTGATATTTTATATATTACCAACACTTCTATTGACCACTACCACCACAGCCCTCCGACCACTACTATTTGCCATTTTTTTTTATAACAGTTGTAGTTTTCTCCAAAATCTAAAAATAATTTATTTATTTTTTATATGCAATAATCCTCCCTCAAAAATCAAGAATCGTGACGACGCATTTGATTTTTTTGTGAAAATTTTACATAGTATTTTTTTTGTATACCAACAGAAGAAACCCCTTCTTTCTGTTAGTATACAAAAAAAATACTATGTAAAATTTGCCAAAGAACTAAAATCGCACCAAACTTATTTATAAGTAACTTTTTTGACAGGATTTTTTTCTATTGAAAATAAGGTTACTTTTCGATATAATAACTCATTACGGGTTACGTAAGGGAAAAAATAATATTTTGAATCGAAAAAGTTAAGAGCGTGGCATAACATGGTAAGTTTTCACCAAATTTCGTGAAAAAGGTGTTTTTTGACAGAGATAATAATAAAAGTCAAATAGTCGGTTATTTTGATTTCCCGCAGATATTTTTAGGTTATGTGAAAAAATTGTAAATCGTAATTTATCTTTCCTCCTTTTTAAAAAGTGACTGCTTGGGGTTTTAAACTTTAAATTCATGCGGGCTATTTAAACTTTACGGCTCTATATATAGGTCATTTCGCCAAGTTAATCTATGGTTAAACTTTTTAACACAAAAGTAGGCTATAACTATCACAAAAAACGGCTTTATAGTACCGTGGGTAGCGCGCCCCGATCGGGGCGTGCGCTGATTTTTTTTTTTTTGTTTCCTCCCAGGCGGGGGAGAGGGTGAGAAATCCTCATGGATACCCTACAGCCGGCTGTAAGGTTATGTCAGACTCTTACTGACTAAAAAACACCCTTTATTCATGCTTATGGCCAGAAGGGCCTTACAAGCTTCATCTGAAGCGATCACCCCCCGAGAGGGGGATGATGCGGCGCTGCGTTAGTTTAAACTAGTGCATAGTTTAAAATAACGTAAAATGCGCTTAGAGGACAAGTGCACTCAGATGTGCACTTGAAACGGGAGGGGACTGAGAGGAATCGAACCTCTCTGTGTCGGGGGGGCGGGGGGGACTCACCGCGAGTGTTGGATCCTCAGCGGCCAGGAGGGCCGCGAGATCGCGTGTGAGTTTATTGTGTGTGGCTGTGAGTGCGTGTTTGGGCCTACGGGGCCTGAAGCGAGATGGAGTGTGTGGGGCGTATCCCGACGCCCTGATCGACCGTGCGGTATTTATCGAGCGCGCCCCGATCGGGGCGTGTGGTCTTTATTGAGTTTTCCTTTTGGTGTATGGTCCAGTGAATGAAACATTTTGGCTCGCAATTTTTTCGTCCTACATGGATAGGGCCTTAGGCTCAAAATCTTTATCATGCCGAGGGGCTCTTTAATCCTGGTTGCCACCCCATCTTGGGGGTGGAAAATTTTTATTACCTTTAACTAAGTACATAAAAAGATTAAAAAAGTAGTGCTTAGTAATTTTTGTAAAACAATTCTTTTTTCGACTTATTTGTTATTGAAGGCTTTTCGACGAAAAAAGCAAGTTTTTAATGGTTTTTTCCCGTTTAACTTAAAAATGTATAGGAGCGTAAAATTTAGGCTTTTAAAAAACAAAAAAAAACTGTTTATAATTTCTCTCCAATCGGACCGAGCTACGGCTTGTTAATAGTTAACGTTTTTTTGTCAAATGCAATATTATACAGCAAAATATTATACAGATTGAAAGTCATATAGCGCGAAAACTGTGCATATTTTGAGGAAAACTTATAAAAATCTTTTTTTAACTACGTAATTATATTATACATTTCTTTAAAAAAAGTTTCTCAGTCTCTAGAATAAAAATTAAGCGAGTAATGATAAAAATTAAGTCAGTCCCTACATTTTTCTACGAAAAAATCAGTGAAAACAACCCTCTAATTACCTCTATTTACGAGAAAACTTGATCGAGCCCTTTAAACTTACCCATTTCATAACCAAGGTATTAAAGAGATATGATTTAAATAGCCTTGCAGCTCTTGAAATACCCTACAAAGTGATACTTGAAAAAACTTTCTATATTTAAAAATTAAGGAGTTATGTTGAAAAAAAAACAATCAATTTATTTTGCAATAAATTCGAATATCCAATTCAAATCCAATTGAGGAGCATAATTTTACAAGTTTGGTCACCATGTTCATAAGCGATTGCGATTAACAGAATATATTGAAAATCACAACGATACTTTAATGAAATCAGATACAGGGCATTATGATTTAAAATCATCAAATCTCCAAGTGAAGACGATGAGGCAGTGAATAAAGCATTTTTGGATGAAACTGTAAAAAAAAAAGATAATAGAAAAATTTATAGTAATGTAAAAAAATATTTTACTACTTTCTATTATTCGACAGCTGAAATAAATCACTTGATAACGCAAAGCCAAATAAAAATGTGTTAAAAGGACATAGTTAACGAACTTCACAAATCAG